AGACCTTTCGGGGACGGGCGGAGAGTCCTGCAGTGGGGAGGGGTTAGCTACTGAGTCCAGACTTAATTTTTGGGCCAAGTTGGTCCCAGCTTCACCAAGAGGACCCTAGGCAGCCCCTCTGGACCTCAGACTCTTGTTGGCAAGGCCTTTCTCACAGCAGCCCTCACCTTGGTCTTCCCCAGAAGTTAGTATCAAGCGCAACTCCCCAACAGACATTTGAGGCCCGCCCTGGCCTTGCTCTGTCTCCTGATCCAGCGCCCCTACCTACCTATGGCACCAAAGCTCCTTCTGTCCACCCTGGGACCTGGATCCACCAGGAAACCCATGGGTATGCTATCCCACCTCTGCATCAAACGGCCCTTGAGGCCGGATGCAGTGGTTCACACCTGTAATCCCAGCAGTTTGGGAGGTTGAGACGGGCGGATCACCTGAGGTCAGGAGTTTGAGACCAGCCTGACCAACATGGTGAAAACCTGTCTCTAGTAAAAATTAAAAAAATTAAAAAAATTAGCCAGGCGTGGTGGCGGGTGCCTGTAATCCCAGCTACTTGGGAGGCTGAGGCAAGAGACTCGCTTGAACCCAGGAGGCAGAGGTTACAGTGAGCTGAGATTGCACCATTGCACATCCAGCCTGGGCAACAAGAGCAAAACTCTGTCTCAAAAAAATAAGTAAATAAATAAAATAAAATAAAACAAAAACAAAAAAACAGGCCTTGGGTGAGGGGAGCAAACTCTTCTGCACTGTGGCAGGAAGGCCCGGGCCCTGCAGTTGCCAGATGTGGGCTCGAGTCCCACCAGGCTGTCCTGACTCTAGGCGGGTCTTTGCACCTCTCTGAACCTCGGTTTCCGAATCTGGAAAATGGGGACAATGATCAAGCCCATCTCAAAGGATTGGGTCTGAGGACTCAACCACCTGATGCCTGGAGTCTGAGCAGTCCCAGGGCTGTCCCAGAGACAGGCTCCCTTGCCCGACGCTGTCACCCACCAGCACAGGAAAGCCCATGAGGCAGTCGTAGATGAAGACTATGGTGGTCACGAGGCCCGTGATCTGCAGAGAGGTTTTGGCGGGCTCCGAGCCATCGATGGAGGAGCGCCGCTTGCCCTGCGCGTCCTCCACCACGATGGTGGGCACAGTGAAGGCGCGGCGGTCGGCCCGGCGCCCCACCTGCACAGCCAGCGTCTGGAAGAGGGCGATGGCTGTGCAGACCACGCCCATGGTCACGCTGCCGCCCACCAACAGCAGGAAGCACACGCCGAAACCCAGGCCGATCTCAGCCACGATGAAGCGGCAGCCATGGGTGTAGAAGCGCTCGCTGGTGTCGTGCCAGCCCACGGCAGGCAGGGCCGACAGGATGAAGGACACCATCCAGATACCCATGACTGTGTGCACCGCCTGCTTCTTGGCATTGCTTAGCCTGGCATGGGGCAGGGTGGAACAGAGGGATCTGGCGTCACCCACAGGGGCCTCCCCAGGCCTCTGGGGACCTGTAGGGGATCCTCACCACCCAGGCACCCCACACCCCCCAGTACATCATAGTCATGGCACAGCCAGTGTGGTGGGGCCTTGTTCCTTGCATAAGAGACACTATGAACATTGTCACACGTCCCTCTTCCAAGCATTCTGTATTGGCTGCTTGTGTCTACCCATGCAAAGCTACGTGTGTGCCTCCAGCAGCTTACAGCGGCCCCTCCTGAGCCTGCCTGCCCTCCCAGCATGCCACAGGTGTGGCCACTCCTATGTGCACACGGGCACACCAGACATGTCTTTGTTTTCATGCCTGCATGGAACCCCAAGAACCCCAGAGCTTCACGTGCTCACCGGTAGTTGACGGGCCAGCAGACCATCCACATGCGGTGGTAGGAGAGGGAAGTGACAGAGAAACAGGTGGCCAGGGTGAGGGTGTAGAAGGTGGACACGAAGACCTTGCAGAGACCCTCATTCCACTCGAAGTCGGGGCGCTGCCGCCGCAGCTGCACCACAGAGTAGGTGGCAATGGGCACAGCCACGTTGAGCATGTGGGTGGCCGCAAGCGTACACAGCAGGAACTCCAGGGGCTTCCACTTCTTCTGCTTGGCACCAACGCTGAGGATGCCCCAGGCATTGGCCAGCAGGGAGAGGCCCCCACATGCCAGCCAGCCCACTGCACTGCCAGGCAGCCGCCGCTCATCACTCATGGTGCAGACCGGAGCTGACAGGCGGCCGTGGCATCCTCCTTGGAGCCAGGTCTCGGGGAGCAGCAGGCCCTCACTCCTGGCGGCTCAGGGATGCTGGGGACCACGAGCATCTGTAGGGGGTGGCAATGGGCACTCAGTGACTTCTGCTCTGGCGACAGCATTGTAGCCCTTGGGCACTTGGGATGGGAGATGGCGAGCACTACACTTTGAACGTGCCCTGCAAAACTCATGTTGAAATTTAATTAAAACTTGTGTTGAGATTTAATTGCCATTCTAATAGTATTAAGAGGTAAGACTATTTTTTTAGAAATGAGGTCTTGCTCTATCACCCAGGCTGGAGTGCAGTGGTGAGATCATAGCTCACTGCGGCACAGAACTCCTGGGCTCAGGTGATCCTCCCCACTCAGCCTTCTGAGTAGCTGGGACTACAGGGGTACACTGCCATGCATGGCTACTTTTTTTTTTGAAACGGAATCTTGCTCTGTCACCCAGGCTGGAGTGCAATGGCATGATCTTGGCTCACTACAACCTTCACCTCCCGGGTTCAAGCAATTCTCCAGCCTCAGCCTCCTGAGTAGCTGGGATTACAGGCACACACCACCATGCCCGGCTAATTTTTGTATTTTTAGTAGAGATAGGGTTTCACCATGTTGGTCAGGCTGGTCTTGAACTCCTGACCTCATGATCCACCTGCCTTGGCTTCCCAAAGTGCTGAGATTATAGGGGTTAGCCCCATGCCCTGCCTGGCTAGTTTAAATTTTTTTGTAGAGATGGGGTCTTGCTCTGTTGCCCAGGTTGGTCTCAGACTCCCGGCCTCAAGCAGTCCTCCCACCTTGGCCTCCCAAAGTGTTGGGATTACAGGTGTGAGCCACAGTGCCTGGCCATGAAACATTTAAGAGGTGATTAGGCCATGGGTGGGTTTAATGTGTTTACAAAACGGCTTCTGGGAGTGAGTTCTCTCTCAGGGAGCTTTCTCTCTTCTGCCATGTGAGCAACAGTGCTGCTCCTCTCCAAAGGACATGGCATTCAAGGCACCATCTTTGAAGCATAGACCAGGACTTGCCAGACACCAAACCTGCCAGCACCTTGATTTTGGATTTCTCAGCTTTTCTTTTTTGAAAAAAACATTTATATATATGTGTGTATCTTTTCCTTCCTTTCCTTTCCTTCCTTTCCTTCCTTTCCTTCCCTTCTTTCCCTTTCTCTCTCTCTCTTTCTGAGTCTTGCTCTGTCACCCAGGTTGGAGTGCACTGGCACCACCTCAGCCCCTGCAACCTCCACCTCCCGGGTTCAAGCCATTCTTGTGCCTCAGCCTCCCGAGTGGCTGCGACATGCATGTGCCACCATGCCCGGCTACATTTTTTTGTATTTTTAGTAGAAACAGAGTTTAACCATGTTGCCCAGGCTGGTCTCAAACTCCTGACCTCAAGTGACCTGCCCACTTCAGCCTCCCAGAGTGCCAGGATCACAGGCATGAGCCGCCGCACCCGGCCTTATTCTTATATTTTAGAGACAGAGTCTCACTATGTTGCCCAGGCTGGTCTCAAACTCCTGAGCTCAAGTGATCCTCACATCTAAACTTCCTCAGTAGCTGGGATTACAGGGCGAGTGCTCCCTGAGTAGCTGGGATTACAGGGCGAGTGCTCTCACACCTGCGAGACATAAATCTGTTCGTCATGAGTTACTGGGTCTTAAGTACTATGTTACAGCAGCACAAATGCCCTAAGGCAGGGAAGGCCCCGGCGCACCATGACCTATCTGGCCCTGGCTTACATCAGGCTGCACCCTCCTCTCCACCCCCGGGGAGGACCCTCCTGCCCATGTCCCTGACATCCAGGGGCTGTATACGGGGGTGCCCAGTAAGTGTGTATTCCTTCATTTCCATCCACTCCTGGTCAAAGCTCAATATCTGGGTTTCCTTCCAGGTTACCTGAATCCTCAGGGAACCAGCCATGGTGGGTCCAGATGGGCACTCTTGCCCTGTGCATGCCCTGGCACTATCCCAGAACAAGTCCTCTTGTCATCGAATGTTCTAGAATCCTCACACAGCCTATGCCAGAGCCCCCCACAGTGGACACCTCTGCCACGCTTGCCTTCATTCCACTTCATCAGGCCACATGAGGACATGTCCAGGAGGACCATGCCCCCTGAACCTCCATTTCCCTCTCCTGTTCCCCAAGTGACCTGTTGGGGAAGGGAGCTGGTCACCACTCTCCTGACCACCCTGAGAGGGGGCAGGCAGTCTGCTATGTCAGCCCCCAGCTGGCCTTCCACAGCCAAACCCTGGGCGGGGGTTAAAGCCCCCACACAGCAGTGGTATGGCTGGGGCGAGGTCACTGTACCTTCTCCTCTAAGAGACTGCAGTGCTTCTTCCACGGGGAGGCTGAGGTAGACAGCAGCCACATCTCTGTAGCCCTGGGCCCAGGTCTGGCACACAGTGGGTGCTCTGGGGTGGTGGCTAGTCTCATGCTCTGGTTGGCTTGGGCAGCAAGGGCCTAGAGACGGCCCGTAAACCAGACCAGAGATTGACTCTGAAGTCAGAGGAAGTGCCGATGGCCTTTCCATGTGAGTCAGGGACACAGGATGCTGGGCAGCAGGCACGTGGCAGGGAGCAGGGAAGCACCCATCCTGCCAGAGGGCTGGGCAGCGAGTTCCTCCTTCACCCTTCCCAGCCTGGCAGCCCTCTGGCTGCAACCCAGGCAGGCAATGTGGGAGAAGCCAAGTGCCAAGTGAAGGCCTACTTTGTGCTCTGATCACACTTAACTGGCCCTTCTCACCCAGGGTGCATTTAGCCTCATTTGCTCTCTTTCTCATGCTCCGGTCCTCATGGGCACCTACAGCATCAGACACGCCCCATGTCCCCCAGAGAGGAAGTATCTCCAGCTCAAGGTGGGGGGCCACTGTTGCCTTAGTCAAGGCCCCTGGCTCTCGGGCAGGGAAGGCAGCGATGTCCCAGCCACCAGCTGGCAGGCCTCCTGCTTGTCTTGTCCTGAGTTCTTTCTTTTGTTTTTTGAGATGGAGTTTTACTCGTTACCCAGGGTGGATCTCGGTTCACTGCAACCTCCGCCTACTGGGTTCAAACTATTTTCCTGCCTCAGCCTTCCAAGTAGCTGGGATTACAGGCACCCGCCACGACACCCTGCTAATTTTTTGTATTTTTAGTAGAGATGAGGTTTCATCATGTTGGCTAGTCTGGTCTCGAACTTGTGACCTCAGGTGATCCACCTGCTTCGGCCTCCCAAAATGCTGGGATTACAGGCATGAGCCACGGTGCCTAGCCTCTTGTCCGGAGTTCTTTTGGTCTGTCTGTGGCCTGACTTCCCCTGGACCTTCCGAGGCTCCAAGGAATGTGTCTCATTCATCTTGGTGCCCCTGTCCCGGACCTGCCCAGACCCCTGACCCGTGGAAGGAGCCTAGTCTGGGCGACATTGGGGCTCCTTCGCTGGCCTCCTGCGTGGGGGGGGGGGATGCTGTAGCCAGGGAAATTCCTTCCCAAACGTTTATTAGATGTCTGCTTGCACAGCAGCCTCCTCTTCCCCATCCCAGACCCAGTGTGGGAGGCAGGGTGGTCCCTTGGACTCTACCAGCCCCTCCCGTGTCTCGTGAACCACCCTGAGTGTAGTGTAGAGGCCACATGGTATGTGAGAAAGAGCGTGGACTCCACTGAGGCTGCAGGGCCCCAAGACCAGCTTCCCAGTGAGTCATGTGACTCCTTTGTGCCTGAGTTTTCTCCTTTGTAAACTGGACATAATACTTACCTTGAAAAACGTTGTGGGTAGTTACTGCACTATGCCAGGGAAAGTGCTTAGAATGCAGACAGGCACATAGTAAGCACTCAGCAAAGCCTCCCCATCTAAATAAACGTCTCTCTTAAAGCCCTCCCAGCTCACTGAGCTGTGCTTTTTTTTTTTTTTTTTTTTTTTTTTTGAGATGGAGTCTTGGTCTGTTGCCAGGCTGGAGGGCAGTGGCATGATCTCGGCTCACTGCAACTTCTGACTCCCTGGTTCAAGCGATTCTCCTGCCTCAGCCTCCTGGATAGATGGGGTTATAGGCATGTGCCACCATGGCCAGCTAATTTTTGTATTTTTAGTAGAGATGGGGTTTCATCGTGCTGGCCAGGCTGGTCTCATACTCCTGACCTTGTGATCTGCCCGCCTCAGCCTCCCAAAGTATTGCGATTACAGGCATGCACTACCTCGCCCAGTTAATTTTGTAGTTTTAGTAGAAATGGGGTTTCTCCATGTTGGTCAGGCTGGTCTCGAACTCCCAACCTCAGGTGATTCGCCTGCCTGGGCCTCCCAAAGTGCTGGGATTATAGGCATGAGTCACCGCGCCCAGCCTTGTGCTGTCTCTTATGGGTCAAGACACTGAGCTTGGAGGTGCTGGGGAGCCTCAGACCTGCCGGGAGATACATATTCACTGGGACCAGGACCTGGGGCAGACTAGCCTCAGGAGTGAGGGGAGCACCGGGCCACCTCCAGCCTTTAGGGTGCCTGGCAGCCTTTTGGGGGTTCAGAGCAGAGTGTGAGTAATCGCTGTGGGCGAGAGGGCTGCAGACACCAGTGGTCTTTACGCTATCAAATAGGAAACTGGACTCACCATGCACTTATCAAGTCAACATGTATTTCTACTTGCCCAGGGCCGCCTCGGCTGTGAGACTGGGAGGCCTTCCCTCAGATGCCCAACAGGCTCTGTCTAGCCCCTGTGACCTTGGCCCAGCCCAGCCCACCCGTCCACGTGTTGATTACTGGTGCAGGGTGGTGAGGAAGGAGCCATAGGCTTCTTCACCAGCCCAGCCCTTCACGGTGCCAGTTCTTCCTCTGGTCTAGCCTAATGGTGCCTTACTGCAGGGAAAGGCTCTAGGTCTGAAGGCCGGGTGCCGTGGCTCGTGGCTCATGCCTGTAATCCTAGCACTCTGGGAGGCCAAGGTGAGTGGATGGCTTGAGCCCAGGAGTTCGAGACCAGTCTGGGCAACATGGTGAAAACCTGTCTGTACAAAAAATAAAAAATTGGCCAGGCGTGGTGGTGTGAGCCTATAGTCCCAGCTACTTGGGAGGCTGAGGTGCGAGGATCACCTGAGCCTGGGGAGGTCAAGGATACAGTGAGCCGTGATTGTGCCACTGTACTCTAGCCTGAGTGACAGAGTAAGACCCTGTCTTTTTTTTTTTTTTTTTTTTTTTTCTTTTTTTTGAGACGGAGTCTGGCTCTGTCGCCCAGGCTGGAGTGCAGTGGCCGGATCTCAGCTCACTGCAAGCTCCGCCTCCCGGGTTTACGCCATTCTCCTGCCTCAGCCTCCCGAGTAGCTGGGACTACAGGCGCCCGCCACCACGCCCGGCTAGTTTTTTGTATTTTTTAGTAGAGACGGGGTTTCACCGTGTTAGTCAGGATGGTCTCGATCTCCTGACCTCGTGATCCGCCCATCTCAGCCTCCCAAAGTGCTGGGATTACAGGCTTGAGCCACCGCGCCCGGCCAAGACCCTGTCTTAAAAAGAAAAAAAAAAGGTTCTAGGTCTGTGGGCAGGGGCACGTGCATCCTCTTGTAAACGAGGATGCTTCTCCAGTGAGCGCCCCCAAAATTCTTCCCCACTGTAAAGCTTGTCCAGCAGAAGCAGGGAGAGGTGAAGCCGTTTGCCCTGGCCAGCACATGCCTGAGCCAGGATCCAAACTCCACTTGCCTGACACCAAAGTCCTGGCCTCTCAAACCCTAAACTGTTGGGGAAAAGGGCATTTTGTTGTTGTTGTTGTTGTTGTTGTCCCTAGAGCTGAGTTCTTTCTGAGCCTCAGGTCTGCAGGGCAGGTCTCACTGTTCCCACACTGCAGACGGGAATACTTCAGGCAGAAGCTCAGGGCAACACGGAGAGGATAGTGTCAGGGCTGGGTTTGGGGACAGGCACTCCTGGGTACTGTAGTCCTGGCATGGGAGAGGAATGTCCTGGGGGGCGGGGCGTGGACACCGGGTTCCAAGTGCAGAGTGACAGAGGACTGGTTGTGTGGGAACAAAGTGTCCGTCTGGCTCTGGGACAGTGACCACAGACACACGGATTGCACCCTTCCTGTTCATTCATCATAGAATGGAGGGGCCACTAGGGCCAGACCCCAGGCTGGGATCCCCACAGTGCCGACGGGACCCAGGATGGCACTGTCTCCTGCTGGGAAGTTTCTCCTGCAGGGCACTTAAAGCATCCCGCAGCATCTCAGGACCCGGCTTCCCACCTCCCCACCTACTGCAGGGCTGACTGCAGGTGCGACCAGCCTGGGACCCACCCGGCCTCCCTCCGCAAGACCCGCGGGCGTGGCCGGGCCGTGACGTCACGGCTCTGGGCCAATGAGGCCGCGCGGCCGCGAGGCCCCATTGCGCAACAAAGAGAACCCAGAACTTGAAAGGATTCCCCGGGCTCTGGCTGCGCCCCGGCTTCCGCCCCCACGCTGGTCTCCGCCCGCGCTGCAGCCGATCTGTTCCACGGGGCCCGGCCTGGCCGTTGCCCAGGGAGGGACGCGCACCGCGAGACCTGGACATCTCCGGCACGCCCCCCCCAGTCCCCGCCCCTACAGTCCCAACCCCCCAGGGTTCCAATCCCCCCACGGCTCGTGCAACCCCCGCTTCGACTCGCGTGCTCTCGCGTGCTGGTCCCCAGTGGGTCCCCCGAGTCCTGCCCCACGCCGAGGGCGCGTCCGAGCGGCTGCCTGGGAAACCTGGCGGGACTGCGGCCTCCGGACCCCTCCGGGTTGCGCTGAGCAGGGGCGGGCTCGGGATCTCCAGACCGCCCCGCCCCCGTCCCCTGAGAGCCCCCAGGGACGGCGTTGCCAGGTCCCGATGCAGGGGGACGGAGGGAGGGGCTGGCCCCGGGGAAGTTACCCCGAAGGTCCCCAAGTTGGGGGGTGCCAGCGCTAAGCGCCGCTCGTGGCCCCTCGGACGGACCCCGCGACCAAGAGGGCGCGGAAAGCCCCTTCCTTTCCCGCCGTGTCCTCCCCCCGGGGTCCTCCGGCCCGTCCGCCCCCAGGGGCCAGGGCGGCGGCGCTCACCCTGCATTCGGGCGTCCGGGGCTCCGGCTCGCTGCTCCCGCCTCCGGCTCCGGCTGCGGTTCCCGCGCCTTTGGGCCGAGCGCGGGCCGCCGAGGGCCGCGGGGGTGGCTGGCGGCGGAGCGGCCCGTGGGCCGGGGCATGCTGGCGGCGACCACCGGCGGCCGGCGCGCTCCGCTCGGTGGGCTCGGCCCCGCCGCCCCTCCCTCCCCTGGGCGCCTCCGCCGCCGCCGCGCTCCGCTCCCGCCGCTCCGCTGCTGCGCCGGGCGGCCGGGGGCGGGGGGCGGGGGGCGGAGCAGGGCGCATGTCTCCGGCGGGGCCTCCGCGCCGCCCCTCGGCCCGCCCCGCCTCCGCCCGCTCCGAGGCGCCGCATCCGCGGCCGTCTGTCGGTCTCAGTCAGTCCGTCCGTCCGTCCGTCCATCCGTCCGTCCGCAGCCCAGCCGTGCCCTCGCGTCCGTCCGCGGCCGGGCCGAGCCGCCCTGGGCCGGTGGCGCCTCCTGACAGCGCGGCGCCGCTGGCTCCCAGCTCGGCTCTGTGCACACTCCCGACGCCGCTTTTAGACGCCGGGGCAAGACCCAGGCCTGGAGCTCTGGGGTTCCGCGGGCCAGAGGGAGCTGGGGCCGAAATGGACACTGAGGACCTGGGGCCAGGGCTGGGGCTCAGGGAGGCCTTCTCGGAGGAAGCCGCATCTAAGATGAACAATCGGGGCGGGGCGTGGAGAGGACACGGGACCAACGGCCAGCGGCTTCTAGGAACTGGGAATCAGTCTGGATCAGGGGCAGCGAGGGGCAAGGTTGGACCAGTTACGGATTCACGCTGCTCCCTGGACCTGGGGAGTCCATTGAGGGAATAAAGTGGACGGGCCACCGGGCTGCCGAGTGGTCCCCGCCACCCCTACAGGCTCAGAAATGTTCTGAAACTCTGAGCACCACCGCCCAGCCGGGAGAGGCCAGTGTCTGCAGCCCAGCGCCTGAACCCCTCTCCGTCTCCCCTCCTCCCGTCCTTCCTGCCCCTCCGCCCCTCCCTCCCGAGCCCTCATGCCATCACCACTCCTCATAGAGCACAGGCTGTCTCCCATAGACTGACAGGCTCAGCTGGCCCCATGCAGGGGGAACAGTTTCTGCTCCTTGATGGGAGCCCTGAGACGATGCCTCCTGAGGATCATGCCTGTCTCTTCTAGAAAGCCCGTGACCACATACACAATGGGCACAAGGCCTCCAGGGCTGCCTGGCATAGTGTTCTTCCATGCCTCCAGGACACATCCGTGACTAGACGCCCCTGTGTCTGGAGGAAAGTGGGCACCTGACCAGGAGACCCAAACCGATTGCAGCCAAAACAGATGCTTGGAGCTTGCCCAGTCCGGCCAGGGCTGCTCCACAGCCTGCACCTGCCTAAACTGTCCCCACACCCCAGGTCCCTGAACAGCTTTTAGGGGGCCCAGGATGGGCCTCAGGGTCTGTCCCATGAAACAAAAGAAGTGTTTGTAGAGAAAGGCCCCACAATAACTGTGGGGCTGGGCAAGGAGGAACCCGGGGCCATGCACACCTATACTCCCTGCGGTTTCTGGGACAGCCAGGGCCCTCAGTGCCCCCAGTGAGCCCTCTGTGGACAGGTCGGCTCCCCCTCCAGGTGGCCCTGGTTATAAATAGGCCACCAGCAGTGGGAGGCTGGCACAAGGCAGCTGTAATCAAGGGTGGTGTTTCTAAATGTCTCGCCTGTGACTCGGGGTGAAACGGTAGAAACGCCGCACTTAATTATTGCTACCGAGAGCCATGCCACTTAGAAACACCACAGTTAAGATTGCACACACGGCCATGGAGAGCCATGCCTCTGTCTGGGCCTGGCTTCCCTCAGCCAGCCCAGCTGACCCACTGCCTGCACCAGTGCCTCTGCCTGGCCTCAGCTGGCTCTGGGGCAGGTGGGAGATGGCCTCTGATGGCTGCCCTGGGGCCCTGGCTTATTTCGTGCTGTGCTGAGGTCTGCTGCAAAGGGCTTGGTGCCCCTGGGAGGCGGTTTTTAGGTGCCTGGTTTGCCCAAAACCACACGGATGAGTGGCTGAGCCAGGACTGAACTAGGGAGTCTGATGTGGGGCCCACCTTCAAGTGAAGGATGTGGGTGCTTTGAGGACCTGGTCCCCTCAGTGAGCCCCTGGGCTCAGGCCCCACTGTGGCCAGCCCTGGGCCTTCTGCTTGCTGGGAAGGGTGGCCTCCTCATCGCTCTGAACCCAGGGCACCACTGGAATGGGTCATGGGTGGAGCTGGGGGCCGAGGCTGGCTGAGGCCAGCCCCAGGGGGCCAAGGGGCAGGGTGGGGTGGCAGAGGCTTCATGTGGCTGAGCTTGTCCCTCCCACCCCCAACCCCCTCCCAGACAGGAAATAAGCCCGTCAGCCGTGACTGGGGCCTGGGACAGATTCCCAAGCTCTTGGCTGGTGTTTCTGCACATCTGGAGCCAAGTCCTCGCTCTCCAGGGGCCAGAGGGAGCCTTGTGCGAGACCGCAGCTGTTGACAGGCCAGTCTTCTCCAGGCGGCAGGACAGATGTTGGGGCTTCAGGGACAGACTGAGTCGGGAACATTCTCCCAGATGCCACCTCTGGGCATGCTTGGTTGGAGCCTCCTTTACAGCAGTGGATGCAGGTGGGGTCCTGGCCCCTGTAGTGGCCTTGGCAGGGCCAGATGCACAGATAAACCGTGCTGCAGCGATACCCTCACCACACACGTGCTCACAGATATGCAGAGACAGATGCACACACACATGCATAGATATGTCAGTGACACGTATGCCCACAGCTTCACACCGATGGCACTGACACATATTCGTGCTGTCCCTCAGACCCCTGCCCCATAAGCCATCCCGGCAGCCTCCTGCCTGAGTGGCTAGGGGAGTTTCCACGTTAGGCACAGGGTCCTGGCGCCAGCTGGGGGGCTCCTTCACACAGGATGTGGGGGTGTCTGGGCAGTTTCTAGCAAGAGGCTGGGTCAGGTTGGGGCTCCCACATGCTGAGCCAGGCCACATTCGGCTCTTCCCACACCATCACCTCCGAGTCTTTCCAAGCAGCCCCACCCTGGTCACAGGAAAGCCACACAGGCTCAGAGCCGGCATCTTCTGCACGCCAGACAGTGGGGCTGTGGGGTGCTGGCACTCCCACCAGGCAGTGTGGCCCTGAGCCCACATCTTCCTAGCATCAGGGCTGCCTGTGAGGTCCAGGGAGCTGGGGTATCTGGGGCCAGGACACCAAACCAGGGCCCCATGGGAAATGGGCATTCATAGCCAGCGAGTCACCAGCTGGACACCAGTTGGTGTGGCTGTGCCTAAGGTTCTAGGGCACACACCGGTGCTGGGAGGGCTGAGACTGTCCGCGGGAGCCCCCATATCCCACACCCCCTGGGAAAGCAGCCCCCCAAGACAAATGACTACCCAGGACGCGTGGGTCCAGCCAAGCAGCAGCTTTATTAGTGGTGTTGGGTTCTTCCCACACCCTACAGCGTGCTCGGAAGCATTCCCAAGGGTTTCTGCGGAATGCCTCCCGGCGCTCGGGACAACACTGTGTAGCATTGACACTGGAATGATATAAATAAAGCTTTGGTGTGTTGGTTTGCAGGAGAGAGTACAGGTTAACACTGTGATACGAAAACTTCAGACAATACCAGCTCTCAATGTGAATCGGGTTTTTGGCCAAGGGGGGAACTTCTAAGTGACTGGACACTGGGCCCGTTGCCATGGCTACTCGAGGCCCCAGCGGCAGGAGGAGGGAGTCTAGGGCTGAGGCTCCGTGTGGCCCTGTCGCTTCGCCTTCATCTGCAGGTACCGCCCTTTGCCTTCCTCAAAGCGCTTCTTCTCGTCCTCGGTCTCGGGCTGTGGACCACACACAGAGACAGGCAGGTTAGGGTCACTGAAGAACCAGTGCCGTGGCCTTGTGACCTCGCCTGGGGCCCCAGCCCTGGTGGGTGCAGAGTACCACGCCACGGCTCCACTGGCCTCCTGGGACTGCCAGGTACCAGGCATGGGGCTCATGTCCCACCTTGCTGATGGACCCACTGACTGGGCTGAACATGCTCAGCCGAGATGCTTTGAGGGGTCACAGGAGCTACAGGTGGCAGAGCTCCACAGAGGGGACACTAAGGACATGGCGTGTCAGAAGCAGTCAGTGGAACTGCTGAGCCCTGTGACACCCTCACACCACCTTTCACAGCAGGTGAACTCCAAGGCCAGGGCCTGTTTGCTACTGGACTTTGGTGGAAAATGCACTTGGTAATGAAACACGGGAGCTGAACATAAGTGGAAAGGAAGAGGACCCCATATTCGCTGCACTCCCAGGGAAAAGCAGCTGCACATGGCCACTGCCCCAGAGAGAAGCGGGGAAAGCCAGCTGCACACGGTCATTGCCCCAAAGAGAAGTGGGCAGACGCTGTGCTGCCTGTGGCCTTGAGAAGGCCCCACCCCGTACTGGGAGCAATAGGTCTGCTTTGTGGGGAGGGAGCCCTGTCACCACACTCTGGACCGTGCACTCAGGAGGCGGCACCTTGGACCCCAGGGACCCCATCTCATTGCTCTGGGGGCAGAGCCAACTGAACAGGTGGGATTCGGCCAAAGACTGGGTTCTGCCCAGGAGAGTCCTGGTTCATGCCTGCTGACCGGCTGCAATTACGAACGGCACCCCCTTTCACTCTAAGTCTCGTGGCCCCTGGGCAGGTGCCACCCCTGGAGTATTAGGTGGTCAATTCTGAGGTCCCATGTGTCTCAACGCCATGTTCTGACTGGCCCCACCCTGGCTGAGAAGTCGGGTTTCATGAGCTGTGCTAATTCCTCTGGGACATTTCATCGCGACATTTTGAGGGTGTCTGAAAGCCACAGAGATGGGGCAGTTGCCCTTCATTTCAGCCACAATGACACCAATCTGTACAGCTATTTTTGGGCCTAAGTGTTTTACAGACAAATGGTATATTGGCAAGAGAGAGCACAGTCAGTCAGAGGATGTAATGTCAAGTTATACCAAATGCCTCCTCCCCTCAGCTCTCTCCAAAATCGGTCTCTAAATGTCACCAGGTGTAAACTGTCAAAACCTCGCCAGCCTGGAGCCAATAGAATCTTCGGGTATTTAAAGAAATAGGTGGCGCTCCTTGCAGCGGTCCTGGTCCCCCTTTGAAGAGTCTTCGGTGTACACAGGAAAACTGCTTTTCCAAGACACTTTATTGAAGAAGTCCCTCCCGCTGCTACAGTTTGATCTCTGGCTGACTTTTAAAAATAAAATTTGAGGCTATGCAATTTGACCTGAAACAGCCCAGGGAAAACGAAATGTTCTTTCTCAGTTCTAGCAGCACTTCTAAGTGGGCAAGACCCCTGAGATTCCTGGGCCTGGAGGGCACAGAGCCCAGCCCCTGCAGATGACAAGGTCCCCTGAAGACACACATGGCTACATCCTGCTGGGCACAGCTGAAGACTTCTGTGCACACTGAGGCAGAATGTGCTAGATCAGGGCTTCTCGAACTTTTAAGTGCATGTGAGTCATCTGCCAGTCTTGTAAATGCAGATTCTGATCCAGTGGGTCTGGGAGCTGAGACTCACTTCTAACAGGATCCCAGGTGACACAAGCTGTGGCCCACGGACCACACTTGTGTAGCAGGGCCCTGCCCCCTCTCCGTCTGCTCCTGCCCCAAACGGGGGACATCTGAAATGGCCAAGAATGCAAGGTCAAAGCCACCAGGATGGGATATAGGGGCCTTGTCTTCCCCTTCCCCTGTGGAATTGCTTGGTGATGTGGAGGGAAGCTGCAGCTTCCTGTCCACCTGCAGCGGCCAAGGCTGAGGCTCAGCAGAGGAGCAGCTGCCCACAGCCTGGCTTCCTGCCTACCTTGAAGACCCTGTAGCAGGCAGAGCAAGTGCTGTGGGGTGGGGGTGGGGTCCCAGAGCTGGGCGACGAGGCAACAGGGCCTGGTGGGGTTGGTACTGGGTTCTGCTGGCGTTGGAGTGGCTGTGGCAGCCCTGGGAGCAGGAGAGCTGGAGACGGGCAGGCTGGACCACACCCAGGCGCCTCCCAGTCTGAAAGCCTGGCCCCTCGGCTCGGGTCCTCCCTCTAGCTGGTGGAGTATCTGCCCTCTACAGAGAGGAAAGACGGCAAAGAGCTTGGAAAGAAAAAGAATCCTTGAAAGCAGGAGAGAGAGAGCCTGGCCCAGGAGAGGCAGCTGGAGTGAGAAGGGACATAGCTGGAGCCCCCGCCCAGCCCATAGGAGCCAGGTCCGGCCCAACGAGGGAACTTCCTGGGAACGTGCAGATGTGGAGACTGGCGAGAAACTTGTTCCCCAAGTGCCTGAGTCCCCAGCCAAATGCTCTCAGGGACCAGAGGACCAGGAGGGGCCAAGGGAAGAGAGGTGACAAATGGCTCTGTGGAGCCAATGCCACCAGCTTGGGAGCTGTTACCACAGGTGCCCTGGGGGACCGGTGGGAATGGCCCGTCCAAGGCCAGGGCCCTGGAGAGGGGCTGAGGAAGGAAGGGCTGCCAGGTCGGGAGGTGCCTGCCTCCCTGCTTGTCTGTGTCTACAGATCCTCTGGGCTCCCTCCCCAACTCCACTGGGAGTTGAAGTCTCTCTGATGGTCTGTGCCAGGCAGGTTTGAGGATCTATGCACTAAATGGCCTCTTACAATGAACAATGTACACTGGGATGAAGGTTCTGAAACGTCTCAAGTCTGTTTAACTTTTGCATTTCTCAAACTGAGCTGGCCAGGGACCCCTTTCATAAGGAACCAAGCTCTGCCCGGCCTCTGGGACGGGCTGCTTCAGGCAGAGGCTTGCCCGCCCTGGGACCCGACCATGCTGTGCGCCCTTCCTGGGATGGTCTCTTCATTCTACCTGGAAACCAGCCCAGCATCCTCAACCCTGGAGCTGGGTGTGAATCCTGATTCACCACTGACTCACATCGACTCCTGTTTTGTAAAATGGGCCAATGTCCACCTCACGGCAGGGTTGTGGGGACCAAATTTCTCCCTGCAGCCCATGTTCAACCAGGCATTAAAAACAACGCGGTGAAAGCAGCCGGTCACAGGGAGCTGCCTATCACCCATTTAGACGAGATGTCCAGGAGAGACACATACACAGAGGCAGAAAGTGGATTTGCGGTTGCCTGGGGCTGGGGGACCAGTGGCAGCTACGGAGTGGTGCTTCTTTTTGGGGTGATAAAATGTTTTGAAATAGACTGTGGTGGGGGATGTCCACCTCCGTGAATAGACGAAAACCTGCTGAATTGTATCCTGTAAGTGGGTGAACAGAACGGCATGTAATTACATCTCAATAAAGCTGTTAAAAGAGGAAACCTCCATAGGTGAGAGCTCTCTGTGGTGGGGGAGTGGTCAGGGCTGTCAATGCATGAGACTGGCCCCAAGCTAATAACGACACAGACATTCTTTCTTCTCTTTACTTTTGCATAATTTGACTTTTTCTATAATTAAAAAGCTAGAAAAGCAAAAAGCTACCTAGACCTAGATCTAGGAAAACCAGCCCCTCCTTTCTTCCCCGGGCACCAATGATCTCCAGGCCCCAAAGAGACGGGGCCCTGCCTTTACAAGTGGTGGGCTGCGGGCAGAGCTGACGGAGCCGTCCGGGCCGTGCACAAGCGCGATTTTCCCCACTCCCCGCCAAGAGGCGTGAAGAGCTAACTCAGGACCATGCTCGAAATGTTCTGGTCCAGTTCATAGGTGTGTGATGGGCCCTAGGCCCCACGCATGCAGCACGGCCCGAATGGCAGGGAGATCTGCGCCCAAGAGCCGAGAAAACCTCCAGCGCTTCAGCTAGCCCAGTCCTCACCTCTGCCAGCCACACACAGCAGTGTCCCCTAACGATCTGGCCTCCATGACCACCTGGCAGTGGAATACGAGTAACTTCCCACAGCTCTCGGCATCTTTACCAGAGATGTGACCACAGCCCCCCAGCCACCGAGGACGTGGGAGGACCACCCAACTCTGGGCCTGCAGAAGGCACTGCAGACGAGAGCCCTCCCGCCCCTTTGCCCCTACATGGGCGGTGCACCCGGGGCAGGGACTAGAGCGATAAGGGGATATTCTCTGCTCGACCCATGCTTAGAGTGCGGCAGGCTGTGCGTACCAGGGTCTTCCTGACAGCCCCACCAGGCAGCACGGAAATGATGACTGTTCCACTTTTACCAATGAGGAAGTGAAGCAGAGAGGCTGAGTAACTTGGCCAAAGTGGCAGAGCGGGTAAGGGGAGAGCCTCCATTTAAACCTGGGCATGGAGGCTGCCCTCCAGGTCATCCTATGCTGAGGGGCTTTTAGGGGTGGGACTCGTGCATGGGAAGTGAGGAAGGCGATGGACCTGCAGGGTGTCCACGGTGAACCAGGGTCGGGGCTTCCCTGCCTCCCCTCACCTCACCCTGGCCCTCTTGCTGAGCTTGGCCTCCCCCAGGCAGGGGCCCTGCCCTGCCCTCAGCCATAGTATCTGAAACCACTGCAGCTGCTCCCACCCCCCCTCAAGCATTCCCAATGCCACAGGCTGAAGGCTGTGGCTGCTCCTCTCACGAGGTCAGTTAATACGCAGCCTGAGGAGGGCACGAACCCGTGTGCAGGTCATTCTCAGGGTTGGCTCCAGGCAGAGGGAGAAGCCGGTGCCCAGCAATGGGCCACAAGGTGGATCTGATGTGGTCCTGCTGTTTAATATTTGCAGCAAACTCATCAGCCAGGCTCTGCCCTCAGACAAAGTGAATGCTGTCTGATGATGGATGGATGTGTGGGAGCCTGAGAGCCTGTGCGGGCCCCATTGCTCTTCCCGTCTCCGGGGATGGTGCTATGTGCTGGATGTTCCAGGCTCTGAGACAGAGTCCAGACCAGCCCAGGAGCCTCAGTGTCACTGGATGGAGCGCCCACCCATGAGCGCTGCCCTCCCAAGGCACGGCCTTCCTCCCTGAGTGCCCGGGGCATCCTTCCAGGGTGGAAGTTTATGAAGATGGCAGTCAAGGGCAGGGACGTCCCAGGTGCCTGAGGACCCAGGCTCACCACCCAGAGGGAGGTGGAACAAAGGGAGGCAGAGCGGTGTCTGTCCCATGGTAGGAGGTTACTGGCTCACTGCTGGTGGGCAGTCAGCCTCCCTAGGCCGTGGCTCTGCTAAATAGTTCTCCTATCCGAGTGACAAAGGGGCCACCTCGTCCCACTGGGTGAGAAGCTGACAGAGCAAGACAGATGTCTCCAGCACAAGGCCCCACCCAGGGCCCGGCTGCTGCCTCCTCGCAGTCATCTCCCTCCACCCAGCAAAGTAAATAAATGCATACGTTGGCTGCTGCTGTTTTTAATGAAGGGTTGGGGGTGGGTGAAGGAGGAGAGAATGCTCTGCGCTCTGTGGGAAGACAGATGTCTCTCAAGTCCCCGAGGCTGCTGGTGGGGGAAGGACTTGAGCCTCGTGGGTACTGGCCAGTGGTGCCAGCTGCCGGGCACACACTTGTGGCCTCAGGCAGGCTCCTCCGAGCCTCTGAGGCTCCCCAAGAATATGCCAGAGAGAAAAGATGAGGTGGCAAAGGGAAGCTCAGGGCACATGACCACCATATATCCTGGGCACCTGCCTGATGGAACGGATGGGGCAGCACAGCCAGGAGCAGGACTCTGAGTCCCATGGGCCCAGCTGTGTGGCCCAGGGCCAGGTTTGTTCACCTGGAAGCAGGAACTCAACAAAGTGACATGGCAAAGTGCTTCCTGTAGTGCTGGCGCACGTGAGCTCCTACCTGTGTGTGCACATGTGTCTGCGGTCCCTGGTGCATGCATGTGTGTCTGCGTGGCGGTCCTGCTGTCCTCACAAATACCTGAGGCCAAGTGCAGCCTGGGGACTACTCCAAGGACTGCCCTGCTGGTGAGTCGCTGCCCCAAAGGAGGGCTAGATGGCCTGGGGTCGCCTTAAGGCAGCAGGGCCTTTAGGGTATCATGACCACCTATGGGGACAGAAGTGTGGGGAGGGTCCCGGGGTAGCAGGTTGACAGTACACTCCCTCCCTGGTGCTCAGGGAGCACCGCCTGGCACTCAGCACCAAGCCCCTGACTCCCCTGCAGCCTGGTGGCTGCCTGGGCCTGGGGTCTGCGTCTTTTTCCTCCCTCCGCTTAGTGCTTCCTGCCAACTGCTGTCTTCTGGGCTCTCTTCCACCGGAGGGGAAGCCTGTGGCTTTCAGAGCCGAATGCTGCAAACCAAATGTTTTCCACTTTGCATTTTCTGTGCTTGGAGAACACACATTTGGAACATGGTATGGAGGACGAGTGACTAAGTTCCACCCTCGGTAAAATCAATTGCTTGTCCTTTTTGTAATTAATGAATGGTACAAAAAGCATTTCCAGTGGTGATATAACAACTTCCTGTAAGCCTGAGGGACACAGACCTTCTTAATTAGGAAGCCATGTAGCATGCCCTCTCCCTGTTATAACAGGAGACCAGAGGGGTCTTGGGATAATCACAAAAGCAATGAAAACATCTCATTATTGAGGACACTCAGCATGGCCAGGCGAGGGGCCCTGTGCATGGAGAAGCCAGCAATGGTGAGCTTAGCGCCAGGACCACCAGCCTCACAAGCACCTGTGTCCCAGGGTCTCGCTGCACCTGAGGACCTTGCCTTAGCGGAGCCTGTCTGCCATCCGCTGCGGCCTCTCCCAGCAGCTGCAGGCCTGGGTTAATTACCTCCTCCGCCACACCCACCCAGGACTGCACCAGCCTCCAGCAGAAAGCAGCCGGAAATCTCAAATAATGAGATCATCATGGAGAGTCATAAACACCCTCACCAGGGGCTCCCCTCACCCAGCAGCACCTGCTCAGACCCCAAAAGAACTGCCCCCCAGTGGGGCCAAGAAAGGAGATGTAAAGGCCAACGGGAGGCTGCTGGCAGAGGCAGGGAGATTGTCGCCACAAAGGGGAGAAGAGGCGTCGGGACTGGGGCCTGGGTGGTGGCCTCTCAGGAGCCCCTCTTGCAGGCACGGAGGCTCCTGTGCTGGGAGTGTGGACATGGCAGTCCCCAGCCTACACCAATAATGATCACAGCTGCCACCTGCTGAGTGCCCACTGTAGGCCAGAAGCCACATGCTCACGGCACACCTCTGCTCTGCGAGTGCCCACTCTGTGCTATGCCCTGTGGAGCTTCCTGTCCTGCTGGAGGCCAGCACTGTGCCTGGACACAGCAGGGGCACAGGAGGCATTTGCTGGACGGATGGATGGATGGATGGATGGACGGACGGACGGACGGACGGATGGATGATCAAACAAATGAAGATCAGATCAAACAGCCTTAATTCTAAATAGGGATGGTCTTTATGTTAACGATTCAAAATCAGTACTTCTGCTCAATCAACACTGGCATCATCTGTCCCCAACAAATTCCAGAGGGCTCAGACCATGGAGGGTCTGAACAGGAGCCTGCAACAGTGACAAAGGTGAGATGGGAGTGTCCAGCACACCTAGGCTTGGCCATCCCCCTGGAGATGGGGCAGCTCTATGGCCATGCTGGGGACTTGCTTCTGATCCTGCACACACAGGCAGGGAGGCCTCTGCATCATTTCTGCCACCATGTGGGGCCCAGGGCCTGTTTCTTCCTGCACCTTTGCTGGCAGGGCTCAGACGTGTGTCTGGCCGCAAAGGGCCTTTGCCAGGATACTCCACACCCCTTGCTGAGAGCGCCAAGTGGGCGGCCTCCAGCCCCCGGATACTCCAGGCATGAGCTTGCCCTGCTGAAACACTCCAAGTCCCATGGCCAGGACCTCATGTGAGCCCAACAACTCTTCCAGGCCTCCCTGATAGGCTTCTCGCTCACCTTCCGCAGCGCCCTGGGTCTAGCTGGGATGCTCCCTCGATTCACTGAACCCTCTGGAAATCCCACCCACGGGCTTCTCCTGGTACAGCCACCCTCCTGGCAGTGCTCACTCTGTCCATGTCACAAATCTGACAGCAGAGGGGACAGAGAGGCCCCAAGGCTCCACCCCACACTCTGTTGTATGCCCCCCAGGCCTGGCTCTGAGCAGAGCCTTCTGTAAACCTTCATGGGGAGAACATGAGCAGCTCACCGTGCCCAGGTGGTTTTTTTTAAACCCCCTGCAGCCGGTTAGGCTGAGGTGGCATCAGAAGAGCTGCCTACCAGTGCTGCTCAGAAGGGCCAGTGTGTGACTGTCTGGACACAGTGGATCTTTCAGAGATACGTGCAGGCCAGAAACATGAAAGGTGGCTGGAGAAAGAGTCTGGGCTCAGGCAGAGGGAAGGCAAGAGCCAGGCTGGAGGAGAAGGCTGCATGCTCTCATCTGCGCCAACCTCCTTCTCGGTACCCATGCTTCAGGTTCTAGGCACATGGGACTCACCAGCCACTGGATGTTCCCAAGCACTAACCAATGAGGTGACAGGAGCAGCTTCAGGATGCACGTACTTTCCCATCACAAGACTGACTCCCGCTAAAAGCAGGCAAAAGGAACAGAGAGCAGGACACTGGATTCTGAGCCTCATGAATATTCTAGTCCATGACTCACGCCTGTGGGCTGGCAGCAAGGTGGGGGCGGGAGGGGGGCAGGGCTTCCCTCACTAATGGACAAACGCGGCAGGCGGCTCACCAAGCCCTTCCAGGAACACACCATCAACCTTCTGCACTCCAGTAACAGCTGAATTTCCTAAATTAGTCAGCAATTAAAAAATTATTCCAAAAGTTCAATCTTGGCCAAACAAACAAAGGAAGCAGGTGTAAGAGCCCACACACTGGTGAGGCAGTGCCCATCCCAGGGCGAGTGCACAGAGGCTGCGCGCGGCCACCACACAGTGCTTCCGCCCACTCTTTTGCTCCTGAAATTCTCTGGGAGTAGGTGCAGCCCCTCCCTGCCTGCAGGAGCCTGTGGCAACGGGGTGTCCAGGATGTTGAGGCAGCAGAGACCCTAGGGCCCTGCCCATGACAAAGGCCCCATGTGGGGACCTCTCTCTCTGTCCTACATCCTGGGACCACACCTCTCTTCTTGTCCTGGCCCGGCCTGAACACAGTCAAGAATGACCATCTCTGCTCCTGAGGCTTCTTCGAGAGGAATGGGGCCCATGCAAGGACCCCAGGCCCCTCTGCACACTGTGCCTGGGGGTCAGGCAGGTCCTGCAGGTGGGGAGCGGTGGCCACCACCATGGAAAGCCTTGCTCCATGCTTCCTCCTAAGTGCAAAGGGGCGAGGGACCTTCCAGCGACAGCATCACTGAGGCGGCTTGGAGAGGGGACTTGGGGCAACAGCCTGGCGACGGCTCAAGACAGCCACAGCCAAGAGGCATCTCCAGCCTGCCCTGTCTGCAGCCCCCACATTGGTGCGTCACAAAGCTGTGGCCCTCAGCACTGCATGGCAGACAACTTCCAGAAGGCTGCAGAGGGCCTTTCAACTGACTTCAGCCCTGGGGCCCATCCTGCCCCTCCGGCTGGACAGCAGGTCAAACAGTACCCTCCTTCCAGAGGCTCTGGCCCATGCCATGCTGTCCTCTCGGCTGGCACGGGGCTTACTGGGCTGCTGCACTCATGCAGGTGAATCAGCTGAGGCTGGGAGAAGGAGGTCATGGGGCAGCAGCAGAAGTGAGGTGGGTGCCATGTTCCAGAGCCTTCTGAAAGTTGTGTGGGTCTGTGCTGAGGCCATGCCTCACATAAGGCCCCAGGAGAGGCAAAAGGATCAAACTGGAGCGGAAAACTTTCGCACTAAAATGTGCCCTAACCCCCACACTTCACAGTGGCCTGCAGAGGTTCAGTCACCTGCCCAGCACTGGTCCTGAGATCATCTGGGGCTGAAGCAAAGGCCCTGGGCGGTGCGGTGCGGGTGGGCAGCGTAGCGTGGGTGGACAGCGCGCTGGGACTCCCAGGGTTTAGGTTCTCGCACAGCAGGGTTCTCAGGCGGGGCTCCTCCCAGGACCCCGCAGTAGGGCCTGGCTGGGAGAAGGCACAGTGGCATCGACGACGGGAGCGAGCGGCCCCCTTTCCCAGACAGTGAGGTCCCAGATGGGCCTGTTGGCCGTGTGACCCCGGACGAGTGACTCCCTGCCTGGCGCCCCCTCCTGTCTGGGGACGGGAAGCAGACACACCAGCTCCCAGAGGGGCTGGCATTCCCTGAAGGCTCTGGCTTCGATGACCTCACCCAGGCACCACCCAAGAGGAAGCCTCCCTTGACCCTCCAGTCCCTTGCCCACCCAGGAGACAGGCAGCAGCCTCCGCATCCACTTGCCCTGTCTTCCTAACCGGAAAGCAACCCTGTTGATGACGGCCTCCGGCCTGGCGGGACCCCCTCAACACGAAGCTGCCCGAGGGTCTCAGGGGCTCTTCTAGGTCGGGGCACGTCAGAGTGGACAAAGCTCAAAAGTGTGCATTTTCCCTGTGTTCTTGGAACTCCCCTGGCTATGCATGAGGCAGCTCTAAAAGGCAAGGTAAAGATGGCCACACCTAGGCCAGGCACAGTAGCTCACACCTGAAATCCCAGCACTTTGGGAGGCCGAGGCAGGTGGATCACGAGACCAGCCTGGCCGACATGGTGAAACCCCATCTCTACTAAAAATACAAAAACTAGAAAGGAATGGTGGCAGGCGCCTGTAATCCCAGCTGCTCGGGAGGCTGAGGCAGGAGAATCGCTTGACCCCAGGAGGCAGAGGTTGCAGTGAGCCGAGATCGCGCCACTGCACTCCAGCCTGGGTGACAGAGTGAAAAAACAAAACAAAACAAAAAGATGGCCGCACCCACCTTCCTTATTGCTTCCCACTTCCATCCAGAAAACATTTCAGTGGCTAAAGACTGGGGCTCGGAGTCCTGGCCTGGCCACCTCGGGACACCCTGTGGGATGGGCTCGCTGCAGTTTGGAAGCCTGCTTTGCAAAGACCCTGCCCTGCGTCATGTGGCTGCGCAGCTGGAGCCTTGGCTCATCTGGGGACACATCCCCTCCCCAGTGTGCCCGGGAAGCAGTGGGGTCATGGCGCTCACTCAGCCCTGACAGCCATGGTGTACCTGGAACAGGCTACAGGCTTGTCCCTGGTCAGGGGCCTGGGCGAGCCCCGCACCCCGCCCTGTCTATACCTCCTCCTCAGGCCCAGGCTAGGACCCACAAGCTCTCAGCCCTAACTCCCTGGTTCTGTGGAGGCTACAATGCCCACACCTGCAAGAATCAGAGGCAAGTACTGCCCTCACCTGAGGTGCCAGGGACGTCCTCCGCTTCAGCAGACATATGGGCTCTGACCCTGCCGCAGGCTGAAAAGCCTTCCCACATCTGTCAGCTGCCGCCTGCCTCCTGCTGTCCCTCCCCACAGGTCACTTCTCCAGCCCCCGTCCGCCCAAGGTCAGAGGGCACTGCCACCAGGAGGCCTGGCTTCACCCGCTGAGTTGGCCTCTTCTAATACAAGACAGGGAAGTGCTGGCAGCTGCCCTGAGCGGATGCAGCAGCCCCCAGCATAAAATATTCATGGCGATGCAACTCCAAGCAGAGAGGCTGCATCCGTGTCAGCCAGGCCCTGGGGAAGGGAGCTAAAAATAGACAAGAGGCTGAAGAAAGCTGACGTGGGGATGGGGGAGGCGACTGGGAGTAGGAGGAGGGGCCGCCGGGGCACATCTGGAGGGACGGAATGCACAGCAGGTTCACCGCACACAGCACACACGTGCTCCCAGCCCAGAACTCTCGCTCATGTGGGCCGTCCCCAAGTGAGAGCTGCAAATCCCTCTTTGGGCAGCCTGCCCCGCCAACGGCTATTTTTATCGACATCAACATTGACATTCGTGGGCCACAGGACACCTCAGTGAAGAATCAAAGACCATCTTTAATGAGTGAGAAATAACAGCCTGGATCAACATGACGCGGCCACGCACAGGGGATGGGTCGCCATTCCCTCCATTCAAGCTGGTGCCCTTCCCTGACCCTCTGCAGCCCCTTCCCCCAGGGCCAGCCCTCCTCCTGTACTCTGACCCACCCCAGGGTATGGAGTTCTGGAAGGGGCAGCCCCAGGACTGCTCCCCAGCTGGCTCTAGGAAGGTCACAGGCCCGGCCCCAAAAGCCTCCGTTACCTCAGGCTGCTCTCCACACGAGGCTGGACCCCCTCGGGTTGGACTCTATAGGGAGTGGGGGATGTGAGGCACAGAGGTCTCCTCCCAGAGGGCCCACGGATCGCTGGCCCCTCACAGTCCCTGCACTGGCCTCCCTGAACCAGCTGAGTGCTGAGGTCCGTGCAGGTGGTCCTGCCCCCACATCCAGTGTGCACGGCCCAGCTGGGGGCAGCCGGGAGAGGGAACCATCATTGGTGGGCAAATACCAACCACGCCTGCAGCTGCTGCCAACCTGGGAGGATGCCACCTACTATCAGCTTTGAGGGGCTGCTATTGGGAGACCCCCCAGGGTACCCCATCAACCTGTACTGAAGCCTGTTCAAAGCGCAGGTGACCCAGACCCTCCTCTATTTTATGTTCATATGTGTGAGCCCCACAGACTCCCACCAGCCCTCTCTCCCCAACCCTGCCCCGTCCTAGCCAGGTGGCCTCGGGTGTGTCACTGTCCCCAAGCTCCCCCATTACAGACAGTGGCTCTGCCTTCGGCCCTCGCCGTTCCCTTCACCTGAACGGTCCCCACAAGAAGAAGAAGGTCCTGCCCTTCTTCCCTGACTCCAGGCCTCCACTGAGGCTTTCCTTGGGAAGGAACTTATTTAAAATTGCACCTGTCCCCCCCACAGACTCCGATCCCTTCATTCCCTGCTTTCTTCTTCGTGACCCTGGACACCATTCAACTTCCTCTATCTTCACTGCTTGTTTACTCCTCCCTCTGAGAGGGTGTGAGGCCCCAGGGAGAGCAGGTGAACAGCAGCAGACAACGAAGGCCCCCCATCTTCACCCACCCCAAGGATTGGGTACTGTGTCCATCACCACCGTACAGAAGAGGAAACCGAGGCACATAGAAAGTGCGTGCCTAAGGCCCCACAGCTAGTAAGTTTAGAGCTCTGGCTGACCCGGGCAGCCAGGCGCCTGCTCCTGGACATGTGAGCCCGACAGTCTACACAGCGTCTGCAGTGCGGGATGCTGGGAGGGGGTCTGGAGTGGCAACGCTTCTCTAGAGCAGTTGTGGGTGCCCTTGTAAGGAAAAAATGTCTGAGAAATGCCGTAGCTCCAGGAGGGTCTGGGGAAGGGCGGCCCAGACGGGAGCAGCAGGTGCACAGGCACCGGGTGGGAGTGAGCTTGCTGCACCCACACCCAGGGCATGCAGGAGCCACTGTGCATTTCGGTGGGAGACGGAGCGACTCGGATTTTGATGACCAGTTCCCTGGGCTGCAGGGAAGGGTCAGACTGAGAACACCAGGAATGGAGGAGGGAGCAGCTGGGATTGAGCCGGGGTCCCATGGGGACGGGGCAGTAAGAGCTGTTAGGGAGAGAGGAGCAGAGTGGCACTTGGTGGGCGTGGGCATGGGGGCAGTGGGGAGGAGCCAGCTGGGTTCCCAGACTTCCAGAGCAGCACAGAGGCGGAGAGGGATTTTTTTTGCAGCGGGGGATAATGAGTTTCATTCGGGACAAACTGTATCTGAGATGCTTTCGGAAACCCTGTTGAGGGGCAGCACTGGCCAAGTCAATTTGGGAGTCAACACGACACACAGGCAATGCTCGAGGCACAGGCCATGGATCCGACCACCCCAGGAGAGAAGGGCCACAGGCTAGGACCTGTCAAAGCCAAGGGTTAGGGGACTGTGTGGTGGCCAGGGAGGCCAGAGTGTCCCTACAGACACTACAGGGTCCCCTGTCCAGGGAGCACAGCCTTCACTGAGGGCCTGGTCAGCTGTGCTACAGCCAGGGAGTGGACGGCAGACAGGGCGTGTCCTTGCGTCTATCCACGCTGCCCACAGAGGGAAGACAGAACTGGGAAAGTTCGTCCAGGAGGCAGGAAGAGGTAGAGAGCAGGGAAGGAGAGAGCTTCAGGAATGTGCCTGGGTCAGGTGGGGGGATTCAGCATCAGGACAGAGAGCAGCCATGCTGAAAAGCATCACGGGAGGGGCGCCAGGTCCATCAGAATAGACCAGAGCGGGCCCGGGTGGGAGTGGAGCCCATACTTCATGGCTGAGAAGAGCAGGCAAGTTTAGAGAAGGTGTGTCCAAGGTGGAAGGAGAACCAGACACTGGGCTGAAGGTCAAGGACAGAGGAGGCCGGAGCCTCACAGCAGGGTCAGGGGCTGAGGAACGACTGCAGACCAGCCCAGGCGACATGGAGGGAGGACGCCATCCTGCCAAGGGCTGATGAGCGGCACGGTGGGCCGGGGCAAGGCGGGTAGGCTTACAAGTAAATGGGGAGGGGTGGGGGCAGATGAAGGAGAAAGGAGCAGGCAACAAAGCAAGCCCTGACGGGGCAGAAGGGTGGCAGCCTAGGGTACTTTGCCACAGAAGAGGCTGTGGGGCTGGAGGCATGGAGCAGTCCTCCCACCAGAAGGGGACCGTGCCTCGTAAGCCCCAAGTCAGAGAGGGGCCTGGTCACGAGAGTGGCGCAAGGGTGGGTCACAGGCACTGTGTTAGTGCTGGGCTGGGGCCACCCACCACTCACTTCCCTTCCTTTCAGCCTGGTCGAGTCCTCATCCTTCAAGTCTAGGTTCACCATCAGCACCTCTACACAGCCCACCCGACCTGGGAGAGGCAGCAAAGAGCTGGCCTGGAGTTGGCAGGGGAGGGTACTCGCTGGGTCTGACAGCTCACATACCACGCCTGGCACTGCCACCATGGGCCCTGGTGAGGCATGACCTCCTCCACTCCAGGAAGGGGCAGGGCTGGGAGAGGGGCTTGGAGGGGCCTCAGCCTCGACTGGGAAACAAGGCAGCTGGGGCCACTAGGCGGCCTTCCTCAGCCACGTGGGGAAGCGATGGGCCATGCTCCAGCCTCTGGGAGGAATGGGTTTTCAATGCTTGTTTGCTCCAGAGGATTTCAATGAACTCTCCTCTCTGGGAGGCTGAGCAGCAAATGTTCGCAGATCTGCGTGGGGAGCAGACGCCGCAGGGGCAGGGGCCTTGAGAACCTCTGGAATCAGGGTCAGCCTCGCAGGGCTGTGGTGCCTGCCTGGCCACTTCCATGACAGTGCCAGTTCCCAAGAGGCCTGCGGGCACCCCCCGCCCCCAAGCTGCTCTGTTCCCCGGAGGGGCAGGAAGCTCCTATGGCTCTGCTTTCCTCTTGCTCCCCTCAGTGACAGACACAAGAGCCAGTTCAAAGAGAAATCAGGACCAGCCCAAAGGCTACAGAGCCCCTGGGGTTCGCCAGGATGGGGAACCTCTGTTCTTATGACAGAGACAGGGAAGCTGCCTCTGGGCTGCGTGAACCCTTCCAACGTCTGTGACCCCACAGAGTCCACGCCAGGCAGAGAACTACCAGTTCTCCAACATGGTGGAGCTCAGAGGATGTGGAAACCTCGGGGCAGCCCCCATGAGCAAGACCCACCCCACCCACCCCACCTGAGGAGGAGAAAGGCCAAGGCACTGGGACCCTCGGCCCAGAGCCCACCAGCCTGGCTTGGTCTCGCCGGGCAGGACCTGCGGGCCAGGGCCACCTGGAGGGAGCCCACCCCTCCAGCTTCCCAGCAGGCCCTTCAGCAGGGGATGGGGGACCCATGGCGCAGTCCTCATCCCCCTCCAGCATTCGTACACCATGCTAGTGAACCCCGAGGCGCCACACTCAGAGGCGACCTGGATGCCCAGGCAGCAGTCATGCTAAGGCACTCGTAAAGGGGTCTGCTCTCTTGTCCTGTCTGCCCAGCCCCACCCCACGGGCCCTGGGAGTACAGCCCAAAGGCCTCCCCGCTGCTTATGAGGCGTTCCTTCTCAAGGCCTCACTGGATCAGTCCCGCAGCCCGAGGTCACGGGTCCAGGCAGTGGCCAGGCCCAGCCCCACTCTGACCCCTACTGACAAGACAGGACTCATGCAGGCACAGATTCCCCCTGGAGGCCCAAGCACAGGAACCCTAGGGCTGCCTGGCAGGGAGGGGCCACCATTCCAAGGACGTGCACTCACCACAAGCTGGGGCACGGGCAGTGACCTGCCCTCCTGGCTCAGCGACACATAGGTGAAGAAGGCACTGGCGGCCCGGTAGCGCTTCTGAGAGCTGTCCACAACAGGGTCGGCGTCCACCAAGACCTCGATCTCCATGGACTTATTGCTCGTGAAGGTCATGCGTCCCGAGATGGTGATGACGCAGCCTGTGGAGAAGACAGGGCAGGGGTCAGGGCGGCCTCCACCCCACGGCCAGGCGGGGGACACTGGTGTTTCTGTGGCCAGCAGGCAGACACTTGGTTAGGGGAAGCAGCAGCCTGGCTGACTACCAGATGTTCAAATAACAGAATATTAGAACGTGTCGTTAGTTGCCCGGGAATGTTTATCTTTCTAGTGAGCAGGTTTATCTATGCAAAGACTCAGCACTGAAGGATTTTGGTGGCCATGAGTTCGAGCCCCCGCACAGGCAGGCTCTTTCCCGGCCGGGAGCGGCAGCACCTGCCGAAAGGCTTCTAGAGCCACTGCGCCCCCGCCAGGGGAGGCCGCAGCCTGCCTTCCAGGAGTCCTGGGTGTCAGCTGGCTCTGCCCTTCCTTAAGTCAGGGTCAAATCTGCAACCTGCACTGTCCATTCACTGGCCTTGCTGGTGCCCACCGGAGCCACAGCTGCCCCACTACACTGCTCCAAGCACCAAGACAGAACCTTCTATCACCTTCCACAGCCACTCCCACCCTCAGGGGCTCTGGTGACACAGGGTCACAAGGCAGCTGCCCTTGCCCCTTGGTGGGATTGAATCGTATGTGACTGCATGCCAAGCCTCCCTTCTGGCCCCGCTGGTCTCACCCACGGGACCAGAGCTTCCTCCTCTGGGCTGTTGGATGCCACACCCCTTGGTCAGAGTCCTCCATGCTCAAAGCACCAGCCCCATTTCTCTGTGAATCATGACAAAGTCCAAAGTTGCCAGTTCCCATACATTGTCCCTGTGTCCCTCTCTCCCCCTCAACCTTAACCAACCTCTCTGTAGGCCCCACGCTCCCCGGGGCACGACAGTCCATCCTGGCAGAAGCTTCCTGACTCAGAGCTGCTCTTCTGCCCCCACCACCCTCCCCGGTATGGGCTCCGTCCTCCCACCTGGCCTCAACATAATCCCTTAATCTCAGGGAGCTCAGCTCTTCCCTATAGGCAGGCATGAGGCACCCTGCCAGGGGGATAGCTACGGGATGGAAGGACTCAAGTCAAGAGGTGACCTGGGGCCCCGGGAAGGTGTCACCATCGACGTCACTGGCCACCGGGCTGCAGAAACCCCTGGGGACTTCCGGGGCAAGTGCTGCCCTGCCGTCAGAATGTCCTCCCAGGCGGCCCAGCGTGGCCTCTATTCTGGGCCAGGCTCAAGGAAATCCCTGCCCAACTCTGACTGCTGGGACTTGCTCCCCAGGAAATAGATCTGGCTTCAGGGACCTTTTAATGTGGCCTCTGGAACCCCCAGTGTCCTAGCTCCACCGAGACTGGCCTCAAAAGGCAGGTTTAGAGACCCAGAGCAAGAAAGCGGCCAGGTGGTGGCTGTTGGGGGGCGGTTAGCAGGTCAGAGGCAAGAGCGGTTATTCCATGTTAAAAAGTATCAGAACGATCCAAGCTTCATTCAACTTCATACTTACAGGGAGTGCTTCGTGCCAGTGCTGGGAGAGGAGGAAGGAGCTGTGTGGTCAGCGCCAGCAGGCATTACGTGAGCTGTAAGGTATAGAGTCCCGTGCAAAGCGCCCGCAGTCACAAGACACACCCCGGGAGGAGGGCAGGCCATGGGCCAGGCCCCAGCTAAGGAGCTAGAAGGTTCAACGGGTCAGCCCTGAGGGTCTCCCAGTATCTCTCCCTTCTTCCCCACATGCCCTGCCCACATCCCTCACCAACAACCACGTATCACACTTGGGAGTCACAGGCCAAAAAGCAGGAACAAGCCCTTTCCATGAGCAGAAACCAACAAGAACTTTCCTGAGGCCACAGGGTCACACACCGGGGCCACCCATGAGCGTGGTGCCTGCAGGAGGACAGGTTCTAGGGGTCTTCGAACACTGGCTCTTAGTTTTGAGGAGCAACAGAAAACGTGCTTTTGTTTTTGAAGCGGAGTCTCGCTCTGTTGCCCAGGCTGGAGTGCAGTGGCACGATCACAGCTCACTGCAACCTCTGTCTCCCAGGTTTAAGCGACTGTCATGCCTGTCACTTAAATAGCTGGGATTACAAGTGTGCACCACCACGCCCCGCCTAGTTTTGTATCTTTGGTAGAGATGAGGTTTTGCCTTGTTGACCAGGTTGGTCTAGAACTCCTGGCCTCAAGTGATCCATCTGCCTTGGCCTCCCAAAGTGCTGGGATTATAATCAGGTGTGAGCCACTTCGCCCAGGCTCCAAAAACATGCTCTTGATGTTACCCATGAAGACCCCCCCTCGGCCACTGCTGCCATGGCTAGATCCTGGCTACTCATGGCGTAATTGCTGTGTTAGAAATCTGAAGAAACTCCTAACAGCAATCAACAATGACTTTAAACAACTAAGTAGATTGATTATAAAAGCATTAGATGTAACAACAAAAAGAAGAGAATGCTGTCTAGGAGAACCTCTTGTGGTCCATAATACAATTAACACTTCATAAATGTCAGGAAAACTTTCAATTACAACCAAAACCTGAGACTTTTCACCCTTCAGAGAGCAACATCATTATTCTAAACAAGACACAGGTCATAAGGTTGGCTGGCAAGACAAAGATACTTTAAAGCTGGAAACCTAACTGGACATAGTGGTGCACGCCTGTGGTCCCAGCTACTCGGGAGGCTGAGGTGGGAGCATTGCTTAAACACAGGAGGTGGAGGCTGCAGTCAGCTGAGATCGCACCACTGCACTCTAGCCTGGGTGACAGAGCAAGACCCTGTCTCAGAAAAAAAACAAAAAAAAAACAAAAACAACAACAATAACTGGAAACCTGATGTGGTCACTGGCTGGGACTTAATTTGAAACCTAGGGTTGACAGACGAATCACAAGTCCCAGTCACCAGGAGAGAGCCCAGAGTTTCCAGGGGCCCTGGCTTAGGGTGTCCCGTCTCCTAGACCCTGGGCTCAGAAGGCACATCCCACACATGACACCAGGGTCTCACAGGCAGCCTCTGGGAAGGGACCGTCCCAGGAGACCTCGGGGGGACCAGCTCCCACCCGCAGGGCTCTGTTCCTGCTCCAGCCCTTCCTGAAGAATTCCAGCTACAGACTGGGCATGGTGGCTCATACCTATAATCCCAGCACTTTGGGAGGCCGAGGCGGGCTCATCACTTGAGGTCAGGAGTTTGAGACCAGCCTGACCAACGTGGTAAACCCTGTCTCTATTAAAAATACAAAATTAGCCAGGCATGGTGGCACATGCCTGTAGTCCCAGCTATTTGGGAGGCTGAGGCAAGAGAATCGCCTGAACCTGGGAGGCAGAGGTTGCAGTGAACTGAGATCACGCCATTGCACTCCAGCCTGGGCGACAAGAGTAAAACTCCATCTCAAAAAAAAAAAAAAAAAAAGAATTCCAGCTACAGGCACTTTGTCAACTCCAGGATGGCAGCTGAGGCGCACACCAAATCCTTCTCTCCGCCTCCTCCAGGTCACATGGAGGTCCCCTGCAGCATCGAGGCCTCCCTGGGGATGGACATCCATCCAGATGGGGTTGGGGTGCCGAGCAACTGGCCTCGGCCTGCCTCCCGCTTTCCACACCCCACCAGAGTGGCCTTCTGTGAGCTCCGTGAAGCTACTGGCCCCCGTGGCCTCTCCCTGGAAAAGCTCTCCTCCCACCCCCATCTGGTTCATCTTCTGTACCTCGGCTCAAGCATCCCTTCTCCAGGGAGCTGCCCAGAATGGTGCAACCCCCTCCGCTGCACCCCCTCTAGAACAGTCCTCCGCTCCTGCAGAGCCAGTGATCCCATTGGTACTGGCACACTTGTTGGCTTGTCTGTTTCACTGATGTCTGTCTCCGTCTAGCCTGGAAGTCTCATGACGGCAGGGCCGGGCCCAGGGGGCCCAAAGCAAGTATCCAGTTGACAGGCTGGAACCCTCTGGTGACCCACGAGGGCTGGGTGTGGGTCACATGTGGACACCAGGCCACCACAGACTCAAGCTGGCCAGAGCCCCATTAGAGCCCCAGGTTTGCATCCTCCTGGAGCGGATGCTGAGCAGGCCAGGATCAGGAATGCCCAGGAACATGGCCAACAGCCCCTTCCAAGCCCTGGTAGCTGGTACTTCCTTCCAGTCTCAACTTCAGTGCCACTCCTGGGAGCAGCCCGCCCTGCAGTCCCACACCTGTCCACCTCCCTGCCTCCCTGCAAGCGGGTGGAGAGCCTGGGGGCAGTCAAGTGCTGGCCATCACCTGCCCCACGGGGCAGCCCAGACTGGCTCTACCCTTCCTGCC